AGGTTTACCTGATTTCTGTTTTTGCGAAACAGAAAGGAGTAAGGATGCTGTTATATATCTCCCTCATATATATAAGAAAAAGTATAAGGGGATGTATGCCTGATACGTGGCATTTTTGTTCAAGCATGAATGGCCTCCAATTTCACTTATTTTTACTGAGTGTTGCCCCTCAATTGCTTCCTTTTTTTTTTCTTCTGGATTAAGTCTCCACCTACTGCCACCGACTCCCTCATTTTCCACTGTGCGCAATCCTCGCAACAAATCCTCCCTATGAAATCCTCTCCAAAAATTCTCTCCTCTCCAGTAATTCTCTTCTACAGATCTTCAAAAAAAAAAAAAACCAAATTTTCGAAGGCCGAAAGAACACAGCGGCGACAAGGTTACGGACGACAGTCGACCGACAACAGTGCAAGGAGCAGCTGCCACGGTGAAAAGGCGGCGAGATCTCTGAGGCGAGTCGGATATAGGTAGAGAGAGGGAGACCCGACAAAGTATGGAATATTTAATGTTTCAGTTCTCATTTTTTGTTTAATTTTTCTGGATACTGGATTTGACTCATTGTTTGTTCTGTTCTTCGTGAGATTGAACTTTTAATGAGTTTTGTCTCAGGTAAAAATGGCAGTGTCTGAATAATGAGTTTTGTCTCAGGTAATTTTATTGCCATGATAATGGTGGTGCATGGTACAAAAAATCTTATTCTTTTGTGTTCTTGATTGATAATCATTCAGAGTTTTGTCTTATTTGTTCCTTGATGGCTAAAGAGGTTGTATTTTGTTTAGTAGCAATCTTAGTTGCTCCATGCAATAGTCATCGGTTTAGGATTATGATTTTCGACGCTGTGCTGGAAACTGACATGCTCAATGAAGATATTTCACTGAATGTCTTTTTTATGTTAAAGTAGTTAACGTTTAAAACCCAATGCATGATTTGAGAGGGCACAAGGATTTATTAGCTGGTAAATGATATCCTCATTGCATATGCACCATGATTTCATTTTCATCCATCCAAATGACCTTTATGAAATATTTATTTTTTTCCTGTCCAATATGTACCTTTCAAATTGTAGACACACACAAAGGTTGATGATGTAGATTTGAAAAAGAAACGAGTAGATCTCCAGAGTAGAGTTGATCTTCTACGCAGGCAGGCTGATGTAAATTGCCTTCTTCGTCAAATCCAACCTCATTCCTGTAATCAATTCTGCATGACCTGTGTAAAATTACCATGCTTATATCTTTTAGACCTATTATGTCAAAGGACCTGTTATCGAAGCTGTTGTGTGGCATGATGGTGAAGTTTGGAGGGCTGCCCTTGACACTATGAGTCTCGAGGATGATTCAGGATGTGGGAAACTTGCTGAATTTGTTCCTCTGACTAATTACAGGTATCGTAGGATCTTAAATTGAATTTTTTTGTAACTATGCTTGCTTATTGCTTATTGCCACTCTTCTGTTCATTTCCAACATTTCTCATCAACTTAAATGCTTATCAAGCTGACAACCCATTAAATAGCAATTTGCCAATTTATATCTTTAAAATATAATCATCTTGCAACTGTCGTTGTAGGATTGAACGGATGTATGGAAGCTTCAGTAAATTATATGCATGTACATGTGTTCTTAATGTGTACAATGAAGGTAATGTTTCGAGTATTGTTACATAGTGTTCTCCCCATGGTACTCACGTTGCCGGTATCACATCTGCATACCATCCATAGGTTATCTAGAATAATCACTAACAAATAAAGTTAAGATCAATATGTATTTGCATTTTCACACCAAGTTGCCCTGAAGCTCAGTTGATTTCATTCAAAATTGAAGATTCAAGACATGGAAAAATGTTAACAGGGACAGGCTTTGTCCGAGTAGTGCTTGCTACTGTGGAGGTAATTAACTCACACAGTTATGCTTATTTCAGAAAGTTCACTTCCTATTGCCCTGTTCTCATATTTTTGTTTAATTTTCTTTTGGCATTTGTGGAATCTTAGATAAGGAACAAGGCACTTCATGAACGAAAAATATGGTTTAAGGGGTTTGATTTGTTAAACCTAAAATGTCCTCACCGCTCGGAAACGTAACGCCAACGTATTTTTATTTCGAGTTTTCCATTTTCTTTGTGAAACCTTACACAATGTTCCCATTTTTTCTTAACTACGAGGCCAATGACCTCCTTTTTCCCGTTGTCCAGTTTCTTTCGTTGAATTAACGAAAAAAATTGCATTTCGGGAAAATCAAACGGTTTGAGGTTTTTCTTCTCTCCAGCTCTTAGATATTTCCCCACCTACTTGAAATTTTCTTTTTCTTTTTAATTTTTTCCTTTCAATTTCAGATGCAGTATTGAAAACTTTGCGATGTGGGATAAAGATGACATCCAATCCAGTGTTCTTCAACTGTATTGGTCCTTCTTGAACGTTTTCTTGCTCCGTTGGTATTTGTCCAACGATCAACGATTACTGCTTACGTGAGGCCCTCCTCCTAAATATTAGTTCATATTGCATTTAGCCTTTGATTTTGGACCTGCGGGCCATTGTTCGAGCCATTGCAGGTCTAGCCGTTGTCTAAACCGCCGATGTGGACAAAATATTATTAGATGGCAATTTGGATCATGAGGATGTGCAAGTTTGTGAATTCCGGAGGTGCAGAACACCGTGTTGGTTGTCCGAGCCAATAACCATTGTTCGAGTTTGAACTATTCGAATTCTCGATTTATTTTTGTTTTGAAGTCAAATATTTGCGCTTAATTGGTAATGCCTTTATTATTTTTATTCTTTTGGCAACTATGCTATTGATAGTTTTGTAGGAGATGACTTGATAAAAATTATATTAACAAGTCGTTTCCATTGGTATAGGTGACGATCGGTTGCTAGAAGATCACGACAAACATGAGGAGTGCTGTCCGCCTGGCTTTAGTGAGTTTTCCATGAACTCTTTGACTCGGCCAGAAAGTACAATGGAATGAATTATAATTTGTGACATGGGTTTGAGGTCATTCGGGCCCCTGCTCAGATTGTCTTATGCAAAACCACTCAGTCTGAACTCTTATGTTTTTTTACTTATTTATGTGATTAACTTTTTATTTAAATAATTTTAATACCTACTATATTCTATTTTTAATTTCATGTTGAGAATTTGCACTCTATGTTTGGGTAGTACGAATTTTATGCTCAGAAAATGACTAATGGAAATGTGTAGATCCAAACCGAGAATACGCTATTGGCCCGAGAAGAAAGATGGTGACAGAGAGGCTGGACGGGATTTTTAGGTCAATTTCTGAAACCTTAAAACATGATTAGTTTTAGTTCATGGTTTGACCAATATATATATATATATATTTATTAAGATCCACGAATTCTCTCTCTCTCTCTCTCTCTCTCTCTCTCTCCACAGTTGCATCCTCTCGCCACGTATCTGTCTCCACTCTACCGGCCAGGGCCGCCGCCGCCTCACAGACGGTAGTTCACAATTCACAAGCCGTTGTTCTTTCTCTTCCTCCTCGCCGCTCATCGTCTTAGAGCTGCCCATCCACAACCGTCTAATCCCAAGCCCCCGGCTCTTGGAACTGTGGAACTCGGTCGACTTCAGCTTCAATCAAGGGCTCGCTCCCATCAAGGTGATTGGAAGCTCTTTGAAGATTTCAATGCGCTAAGGTTTTGGCAAGTTAGAGCCAAGGGTGGAGCTGTTAGAACCAAGGTAAAACCTATTATTCATATCCTATGATGAGTTTCATAATTAGGATTTGTATGAAGAGTTTGTTTTTCGTTTAACTTTTTTATTAGTTCTGTTGTGTTTGTGCCATGGGTATGTGAATAGAAGCTCCATTTTTATTTTAAATGCGAAGTTTTGCTGAAGCTCTTAGCTGTGTTGTTGAAATGTCATACCTTGAGACTAAAAGTATCTATTTAGTTATGTGTGGTTTCATTTCTCTTTTTAGCCCATTGAGCACACCATTTCGATAAGCACACCATTTCCATAATGAATATGCTGATACTGGCAAATTTTGAGTTTTGTGAAAGAAAAGGAAAACTCTATTGGTTGTGTGCTTGGATAGGCATCCATGGTTTACTAATTACATCTTCATGCTTGCTTATGATTTATGTTTTGGAAAATCTTTGTGTGCTTGGGTAGGGATCCATGGTTTACTAATTACATCTTCGTACTTGCTTATGATTGATATATGTTTTCAAAAGTCTGGTGCTTCATTTGCACGTGTCTTTTGCGAGTAAGCGGAGGCTATTCCCATCCTCCAGTGCTCGATCGAGATACCCAGTATCGAGGGTGGCCCAGACCACGCAATGGCCAAGTTCGCGGGCCACATGCAGCTGGTAGACACCACGTCTACTCCATGTTGGGCTAGCTCGGGCTCTCGATGTCATCCTATGCATCTGGTCTCGAGATCCAGAGATGGGCCCTTGGGGGACAGCGATCCTCGGGTGGGGGAAACGTGCCTGTACCTGGCTGAGGCCCACATCCAGGCCATGCAACTCGATGAGGCCCAACATGTCTGCCAGCTGGTGCTTGACATTAATCGGGATACCGGCCTGCCTGCATCTTTCAAGGAGGCTGCCGACCGGCGGCTGATGCCGATTATCTGCATGTCTAAAGGGTCGCATATATTTTCATGCTCTTAGGCTCAGCCGCGCAGACCACCGTCGATGTGAGTCGAGACAGGATGCAGATATTTTCATGCCGATGATCTGTTTCTTGCTACTTCAAGCCCAAACACAGGTAGAGTACCTTAACGTACTACACGTTTATGCACTACGCACAACGTGTGAAAGCACAAAGTACAATAGTTGATTTCTTGTGCATTGGGTGCCTGTACTTGGTTTTGGTTGTATAACTTTCAGGTTTTCGGTTAGTAGAAAATTTGGTGTGTAGGTATGGAGGTGGATGGGATGAAGGTGAAAGAAATGCATTTTCGAGGTAGGAAATTGCACAGTACCACCATCTCCTGCCACAACAGAAGCCTATTCTGGTAATTTTCATCTTTGGTTGCTGCTAAATGTATATTGTTCTTGAATGAGATTCATCAGATTAATGGTATATTGGTATGTATAACTGTGAGGTTGTGTTGGCTTTGTACATTTTTCACGCGACGACGAAAATGAGGTCAACTGACTGCGTTCACTGAAAAAAAAAATGGGTTATTTTGCTACTATGCTGATCATGTATAAAGAAATTTTTGTTGTCGTGAAAGAGAAGAGTATTTGTTTTCTTGATCCGATATTTGGGTTGTTTCAAGCAAATATCTCCAAAACTGATGTTTGCTTATGATCCTATTTAGGCTTTATCTTGGGTCTTGGGGATATGAAAAGTTAAAACCTGTTATAACTACATGACTGCAAGCAACACATCATTTTGCCAAACATACAAAGGTGATACCTGAGAAAAAGATTTGAACCCCTTAAGAAAATGCCTATGATGTCATTCATAACTATCGGAAAAGGAAAAATAAGTTACGCTTATTTTGATTTTATAAGTTATATGTTTGCGTATATTTGTTAAGCAGTTGAAAATGTCAACTGGACATCGGTATACCATTATAAAAATATTACCTTCTTCCATGTAGTCAAATAAAACCATTACATGATAGAAAATTAATTTAATGAAATGATAATGTAAAGTTTGGTTTATTTCACTGGACAACATTCTTTTTGTGGGACTTCTGTTAATTGTTTGTAATTCTTATTTTGTTAAAAGTTGATATTCGGGCCCTACACTCTTACTAGACATCTTTTTGTGTGATATCAATAACACTACTGTCTTTACATGTAACTCAAGATCATGAACTCATTGAGTCTATATATCCTGATAAGTCTTTTTTTTGGCTAATTCTAATTTGTTTGTCGATTGAGCAATTCTAACTACCCAATATATATTTTTCGATGATGTTAATAGCAAACTTATTGCCACTTTTCTAGGTGAGTTGGTGGAATACCTGAGTTTTGATAAGGTCTTCAATCCGGCACATGCTGCCGAGTACGGTAACCTAATAAATTCTCGAATACCAAGAGGTATGTCGGAACATAGGCTTCAGCAATTTTACTTCATAAAAAATGTGATTTATGCACAAATAGCAGTGGTGGATCTTTTTTGCAAGAATGTCTTCATACTTCGAACCGCCTGTCGAAGAAGACATAATTTCTGCTTTGTCTTTGTTTTGAAGTGACACTAAATAAAGCTGAAGCCCAATCCCTGGACCATGTTGGTATCTAAATAAATACAACATTGTTGAAGGGTAAGTAACTCCAACCTACATTCAAAAATGCTACCAAATGAAGTATTTGTAGTTTTATGATGCGAGCAAATGCCAATCACTATTTCATACAATTGTCCTTTTGAATTTCATTAAGAAGAATGCTTTGCTTGTCTTGTTTTGTGGCGTTCCTTGGGGTCATTTAAGTGCTCATCTTTGTTTATATGTAGAGAAACGTGCTTGCTTGGATGTGATGTTGTATTTTACGGCTTTCGAGTTTGGTACTTTGAGTCTGATATTTGTTTCTTGAGCTTTTCTGATCCATTTCTTTAACTGTCTAGGCAACCAACCTTAGAGATAACTGTTGGGCTCGGCTCTTACAAAGATGACGACCTGATTCATTGCTTTTATTTGCTTTCCATATAGTGTTTTTGTTTGTTGGATTTTGCGTTTTATAAATGTTTGTAGACCTGTGATTGGAATTAGTGGAATTTTGATCTTTCCTTTACCTTTTGGATGCTAGGTTATGGTTGTGTATTCAATTAGCTGTGCGAATCAGATTTTTTTTTTTTCGAACTCAGTATAGATGTGATGTAGAATTTACTTTGCTTCTACTTGTTGTTTGAAATATATCATAAGAGCATTGATTAGAACAACAAATGTATTATCCATTTTCATAACATTTTTAGAAGCATCATGTAGGTATTTGTATATTTAAATCTTCCCAAATATTGGAGATAATTATAGACTGAACTAGTTCTACGTTCTGTTGTTTTGCATTAAATAGTGTGGGTCATCATCGGGCGAACCGAAGATCATGCTATCAGTTACTCGTGAAACGAGATTAAGTGGTTCACAACCCAGATGGACATGAACAAACGTACAGTTTGTCTTGACTGATTAGTTACACTAATACATTTATATATTGAACAGGATCCCAGAGAGGAGCAGTTCGTTTTATACTGATCGTCGTAAACGAACTAGACCTCGGTTAATTATTGCGTACTCTTAACCCGTAAGATATTAAACAGGAATATATGTGTAGTACTTATTACTTTGATTCACGTGTGTGAGGCTTAGTGAACTGGGTCAATAGACCCGCTGTATTTGGTAATATTGCTGCATGTAGGATGTGCTGTTAGGATATTTACGGTCACCATGTGCGTTAGTTTGATGATGTCCTCGGAGTGAGTTCATGAAGGAATGTTATGGTAAACCTTGCAGGTAGATTAAATTCTGGCATAATATGAATGTGATGAACGAGCGCTAGCTTCAGTGAAATAATAATTAATTAATTAATTAATTCTTGATTGTCAGTGATCAAATTAATTAGTAGACATTATATCTTAAACATGGGAGATAAATCGAGTAATTATTATTGGAGTCTCAATTGTAAATTGGGGGCTAGGAAAATTGAGTGCAATAATATTATATTGGTGGCCCATTTAATATTATTTAATTAATTAAAATAAGTGGTTTGGTCCTCAAGTATTTTAATTAATTAAGGAGTCCTTCTCTTAATCTCCTAAGAGTCCCTACTGTAGCTCTCTATATATACATCATTAAGCTCATGTGAAGAGAAAACATAAATCACAATTACATCGTAATTCACGTCGCGCCATATTCTCTCTCAGTTTTTATTCGAGCTTTATCTTCTTCTTGTTGTTCCACCGGTACAAGATTAAGAGGTGTTTGAGATATACAGTAGAAGATCTTTGGGTAAATCGAGACGAAATATATTTTGTCGCACAGAACTAACCGGAGGTCCGATCAAGACGTGCAGCATACCCAGACGACCGTCTCGACGAGAGCTTTCCAACGCCGCTGAGATCGCCTCCATCCGACGCCGGACGCGCCCTCACGCGCCGTCGGAAGCTCCCAGGACTACAACTTGTCTTCTTTCATTTTTGCACCTGTTTTATCCGGTTTTCGATCCGATCTTGTTCGTGCAATCCTATGACGTGATTTGCAGTCTACTTTTCATTGGTGTGCTGTGTACGGCCATCTAGAAAATCAACCAGATCGCCATAAATTTTAAACGGTAAGTTCTCTACGCAAACCTTTAGATCCGCTGCGCATAGGTTTACGTTTTGCTATTGAATTCGTGATTTGTGCATAACGAGATCCTCATAGATCTCAACAACGTGGACTTCACAATACCTATGGATCCCTCCCGACTATACAAGTACTTAATTCCAAAGCACAATAAGTGTTTGTAAAAGAGAAAACAAACTTAGTTCGTGTGTAAGAACACTGAACAACAGAATAAAAAAAAAAAAAAAAAAAAAAAAAAAAAGAAAAACATAAAATACTCACGAACAATCAATGAAGCCTAGGATGTATAAAATTCGATAAAAACATAAAATCCGGACTGATTCGGTTGAACTGAAATTCTCTTCGAACCGTCCAGACTGGTCGGTCCGGTTCGACTGAACTGGACCGACGGCTCACTCAAAGTCGGTCGATCATTTGCTTGACTACGTGCAGCTCGGTTGACCGTGGTTCGAGTTCGACATGGCAAATTAGGGTCGACACAACTCGGCTGACACGGCTTAGCCGATGCACGGGTTAACAGTGCCACGGTCACTGACGCAGGGGCGTGCTTGGACCACGGCTAACAGAACGATGCGTAGAGGGTAGATCAGATAGACACGGTGTATGGGCACGCACTCGGTGGTTTGACTCGGGCTCGGTGCACGGGCACGCACTCGATGTTCGGTTCCAACGGTCGGACGAGAGTCGAACACGTGTGCGGGACGACGATACGCGTTACGAATTAATTTTACGACGTCTAAAAATTATTTAAAAGGATACTAAGGTTTGGACGATTAAACTTAGATCGAATCTTTACCCGGTTATCAAAACCGGATAAAACTAGGGTTCCCAATATTCGAAAGTTCTAACTCATTTAAAGTCGATACTTAAATCATTACTCTTATGTGATTTATATGGATTTTACATCCAACAACTGCAACTAAAATCACAATCGGCTAATTTCTATAATTATCGCATTTTACTAAAGTCCCAATTTTTAAACTATATCAAACGACATCCAAAATCCACGAAATTCGGAACATAACATCCTCGATTAGCAACCAAAGTCAACTCCTAACCCATTCAACTAATAATCGCATCAACTGGTCAATTATTTCGAAAATCTCGTTCGTCTATCATACAAACTTCAAATATTTCTCGACTCGTATCCTAAGCCTCAAGACAATGCAACTAGTTTTATAAAATTTAATTTGTCATTTTATCAATCGAAAATATCCGCTTCAAACTCGAAACAATCCCAATAATTCTAAAATCACTCAAAACATCAAATCCTCGATTTTATAATTATTCATTAATCACAACTAAGAAATTGGAGATGGGTTCAAGCCATTTTACCTAAAATAGGGCTCGAATCGAAGATCGAAAAGTCAAAAAATGCTAAGGAAATGGACTAGGGCTTGAACCGGGCCGAGTTTGGAGCAACTGGGTCGGATTTGGAGCTGTTCGAGTCTGACCGGGTCAGCTGGGTCGGATTCTGAGCGGGTCAACTCAGTTCGAGTTGATTGGGAGCGAGTTGGGCGAGTTGATTCACTAAGTCGCAGATCCGCGAGTTGGATGCAACTGGGGGCTCGGATCGCGAGCGTGGCATAGTTGGGAGGTGAGCTCGTCGCTGGACTTGGGTTGAACGGACAGAACTCGCATGGACAGAGGCAGTGCATGGCGAACCGAGGCTGATGGGTCACTGTCCTGAGGTGAGGGTCTCGGTTCGGAGGTGAGCTGACCGAGCTTGGACTGGGACTGAAATAGCTCGGACCGGCTCGGCTCTGTGGCAGGATGCGCGA